CCTTATACACACAAAATGGCTGCATTTAACTCTTTTATACACAGACTTCTTCATACGCCACACTAAACAAATTGCACTGAACAACGGCTACAATTCGTCCATTATAGATAAAATTATAAATAAATTATAAATAACAAATATAGACAACAGTAAACTCTATTTATCCGAAACCTAATACAGAACACGAACAATTTAAAACAATTACATACATAGGAGAATCTAGTGAAAAAGTTTCAAAACATTTGCCAAAATGTGGTTTAAAAATAGCTTTCAGAACTAACAACACAAGAGGAAAATATTTAAAAAACAATAAAAAGAAATGTCCAAAATCCCAAAAATCAGGTGTCTACAGGTTGAAATGCGGATCTTGTCCTAAAATTTATATTGGACAAACAGGTAGATCCTTGAAGAAACGCATTAACGAACATAAAAGAGCGTTTAAAAACAATAGTCTAGATTCTAATTATACTACACACTTAAACACAGAAAAACACAATTTTTACTACAATTTTGATATTTTACATACAGCCACAAAAAGTAGAAAATTAAATTTATTGGAAGCCATGGAGATTAACAAAATGACACATTCAAATGTATTGCTTAACGATCAATTAGATTTAAATACCTCTCCTTTATTGAACTTAAATTGTCACAACAACATTAATTAAGGTTTTATGGTCATTTTTTGGTATATATACTAGCAGGTAGTTTGTAAATATTAGATTTGAGAAAGACCCGGTGTTGTCGAAACAATTGTCATGTCAAAATATATAATTTAATATAATAAAATCTGAACTTTTAGTTCTTATTTATTGTAATATTTATCAATTAATCAAATGTATTTGTAGACTAAATTTCATTTATGTATCTTGCCATTTCAGGAACAATAAGGAAGTAATATAAAATAAAATATCATAAACAAATAATTAAATATTGTAATAAATAATATTCTATTTAGCCCAGAAAATTAAGTATCCTTTGTTTATAAATCTTTAAACAAAATCAAAATTCCAAGCTCACAAAAGTGGCCCGGAACGACACAAAAAAAAGAAAACCTGGTAATTCAATTTAATGCCGGCTAAATGAAAGGCTTTAATTCTTCGTCGGCGATATTTGCATCGGGACTAGCCAAGAGAAAAGTTAACGTAAAACGTCGATTATGCGGCTCTACATTACAATCCCAGGGATTTAGAGAAAAGACTGAATCGTGGACCCCGTTTCGGATTTATTATTTTTTTACCCCCCTCTCGGTCGTAAAAACGGTCCGCGGAAAACCGCCGGGAAAAATAAAAATTCGATTCGACGAATCGCGGCGATTTAAATTAAAATCTTCGTTTAGATCCGTTTTTATGTATACCGCGAAAACTATTGTATCGCGGAATCTATTTTATGCGATCGAAAACACAAATTCCCTACACCCGGAAACTTTCTTAGCTTCAATTTGCAATGTAAAACGGAACGTTTATGTGTCCGGGAAGTTTCGAAGCATAATTCAATTTCTCCAGTTTTGCGCAGCCAACGTAAATCCATTAAAATTGCGAGAATTTTTACTTATGCCCGGACTCCCAGTAAACACAATGCGGTAAAGTATAAAGGAAAAGGGTAGTCCTAGAAATTTGGAAAACAAACCAAGGCAAACCATATAGTTTAATTGCCATCAAAGAATACGATAAAAAATACAAATAATAAAAGTGCTGAAGTAGGTTAAGTTACTACAAAAAGGTGTATCAACCCAACAAAAGTTGCTAGAAACACAAGAGCTAGGAGCTTTATACTAAGCCGTTACAAGGAGAATTGAAATACAAAGTACATTGTACACATATTTATAACGTTCTATCTCCATCGGTAGTGGAAAACAACAGGGACGAATTTTTGTTTTGGAAAAAGTGGGCGTGCTTGGTTTTCTTGGAATCTTGCAGCAAACTGCTCTTGTACGTTTTCCATGGGGTAACTATTAGCAAAATTAAAATAAACATCATTCCCGTTGAAGTGGCGAGACTCTAATGCCGGGGATCGAAGATTTCGCAGCTTCTCGTAGTTTTGGTTAGTTAGTTGAGATCAATCGATTGTAGCTGGAGTGGCTGGTACTTTACATCGTTACATGTTCCACATTTTCAATTTGGATGGCTGGCAGTGAGAATGGGTTTCCTTTAAAAAGTTCTTCTTTATTCCAAAGCCAGTATTTCTTCTTCAATAAAAGCGATTTCTTTATTTCCACAATTCATTTGTAATTTAAGTTTCAGTTCCGATGGTATTATCGAAACAAATCTACTGGTGATTGATTGGTCGTATTATATGCGTTGAAACATTTACATTGACTACGTGGCAATTTTTGTTTTCGGAATATCTAATGAGAGTTGTGTCCTCAATGATTAGACAGATTGCTTCTTGCCCAATATTAGTTAGGGTAAATTAGGACAATTAAGGATCGATTTGCGGGTACTGGGAATAGTTGGAACATTTCAAAAATTTGTATTATTATGATTTCAAAAATTAAAATTTGATCATCACCATGGACAATAGTCAATTTAAAAATTATTTGTTCTAATTCAGCCGCCGATATTACTGCAGGATGTAATGTGTATAATTTCCCAAATGTAATGTTATAAAACTTTGGCAATTTACAATTATTTGCATTAGTGTGTTTTGAGCTTTAATAAAGATAGTAATGTCAGTAATAATTTTATTTCAATTATATTAAAAAATGTCTATATGTATTTTAATAATTTCTTGATTTTTCTGTATAAGTGTTATAGTGTCATTATAGTTATCGATCAGCTGTTGAATCAACGAGGTTTGCTCTTTTAGTTGGACGTCAGATGAATTTTTACAACGGACAAGTTCTACGATCATATTTTGTTGGTTGGCACTTGTCACAATTATTAATATATTGAGTTAGGTCGGTTTTCATATTTAGCCAATAGTAGAGCCTTTATAATGCTATAGGCTATCGTTAATACCTTGATGACAGATTTTCTCATGATGATATGAAATTAGATCTTTTTGTTTTGTCCTGTCAATGACGTCAGTTAAAAAGTTTTTGATATTGCCAATTTATAAGCATGGTTTTTAAATATATTTGGTATCAAAACAGATAGCTCCCTAGCTTAATCTATTTCAGTGGTTTGTACATAAATGTAGTACATTTTTGTTGGATCCAAATAATCTAAAAAGAATTTAATTATTTCATTTTGATAGTTTTGACTTAAATAAACAGAAAATCTAGTTTTATTTTGAAATGGGTAACTCATAATAACATGATAACGACCGTTTTTTTATTGGTTAAATATTATGTAATAAGTATTTTAAATATTATAAGTATTATAAATATAAGTATTTTAAATATTTTAAATAGGATCTTCAACTGTTGAGTGTACTGTCTCACCAGTATTAGCAATATTTGGCGTTCTAATTTGAATGTCAGAGATGATATTAATTTTTGGAGTATTTACATTCTCTAGACACGTTTTGAATTTGTTCCAATTGTTCAAGGCTTATATTTTGATCTTCTTCATGAATGTATGTATCGACGTCTTCAATAATATCTCCAGATAGGTTGGTACATTAGTGAAATTTTCTTAGTCAAATTGTTAAGCGTCATTCACCTTCATTCTTTGTTTTCGCAGTGCAATTATTAACGGTAATAGATACATACCTGAGTGGATGTCAAGAAAAAACCACAATAATGGTTTTCAAATATTAGGATTAATAGGGTAGTAATTGTTGTTCTTTATTTGATAATTCGTTGCAACAAATTATTGCTAGACACTACAATACAAGTATTTTCCCTACTATTAATTACGCCTCCTGGTGATCAATTCAGGCACTCGAAAATAATTTCCAGCACTCTCTCGTTGCCGATTAATATTTTTTTTTGTTTCAAATATCTAAGACCATTCGTTTCCCTAATACCGTACCTCATTGCTTTTATTCAGAGACTCAATACCCATTCAAAATAGTTCGCCGAAAGAAACGGTAACGACGCTTCCGCTCGCGGCAACATCATTTTTCCAGACACGTGCATTAAATTAAATATAAAGTTACAACAACGGCGAACTGCAATCTTACATCCCCGTCCGTGGCAAACGTTTTTAGATTAAACGCCATTCTGCAAAACAAGCTGCATGTTTACAGCGTGTTTAAATTTCCCCTGAAAACCGTCCCTAAATTTGGCAAAGAAGAGCAATTTCAGATCAAACTGAAACTCACTGTATGTTTGGAACAAATTTGATATATTCACGTTTCCTGCTAGGACAATTATTGATAGTGCGAAAGAAAGCTGTTGTATTTACTGGAGCCAGTAGCTATCCCATTTAAAATTTAAATAAATACAAAAAGGTGCTATAAATCACTCATCACCAAAATGTCAATGGATATGTGCACATTTAATTACCAAATTGCCGCATTACCACTAATTAACCGAAACAATACCACTAAATACCACTTAAATTATTTCTAATATTACGTGCCAATGAAATTACCGCTAAATACCACGATTTTATGTGAATTTTTAAGAATATGATACATTCCTCGGGAAACATCACAAGCATATACCATATAATAATATATAATATATAATCTCATCTCAAAAACTCTCCAAACCTTTAAATGAAAATTGAAAACCAAAATATAGATTACCATTACCCAACCTGAACTATCTAATTTATGGTAAAACGTTGCGATCTGTAATGTCAAACGCATACTTTTTCTCCTTCAAGATTCCCAGTTGATATCGGACTTTCAACTGCTTTTTTTCTAAAAAATAGGGTAACACTCCACCTTCAAAAGTCTCACAAAAAAATTCTGATTCTGATGAAAACTTAGAAGCAAAGCTCAATGAAACCATTTAATTAAGCATTGAAAAACTGCAAATCGTGAAGTAGTGCAAATTTGCGGGTATATCATACTCTTATTAGTATAAAACTTCTGCTTATTACTACCAAAATTGCCTTTCATTAACAATAGTTACCATTAGTTTGTTTCCTCAAACCACCACTACATTTTCGCTTATTAAATTTTCCCTACCGTGAATCTACCCAGATGATAATGCTAAGTTGAGGTAGCCTTACCATTTTTATTGCTGGCAAAAATAAACCAAAACTTTCAAACTTTTCAATTTTTAGCTTCTATAACAAGTTTAAAGTGAAATACTAGGCTGTTAGCGATATAGAATATGACAACACAATCTGCGATCGAATTTTACCCCCTCAAATTCTAAAATATACACTCTCGAAGAGGCTATTCAAAAAATAATTTTATAAATTACAATGGAAGTAATAGAAAACGTTTTCTAATTATAGTTGTTGAAGTTTCCACAACACTTTATTCCCAATTTTACACTGTACAATAAATATTATGCTCTGGGATTAACTACACATCTTCCGGATTCTAGATCAAGACAGTATCTCTCCTCGCAGAAACATGCTTTTATTGTGTCGGGCGGGCAAATGCCGGGTGGCGAGCATTGCTCACGGCAAGGGTTTGCTTCCTTGCATACTTCATTGGGGCGGCTGCAGGGGCATTTTCTTTGACCAAGCACTACAAATACACGGTTATAATGGCTCCATAATGAATCAAATATAAAATTACCTTCGAAAATAATCGACGATAATAGGACAATATGTATCAGTCGATTAAACATCGCCGTTTCAGGTCTACCTCGGTATGACTTAGTTATTACTTTTGTGCACGCCACTTCCACTGTCAGTTCCAGTAAATTCTAAGAAATAATAGTGGCACGATAAGTGGTAGAGGTTGTGTTTATCTAAATGGAACACAACTGTACAGGATGAGCCAAAACATTCCAACCAGGTTTGTTTTAATATCAAAATTGCAGATATAATAAAGCGTTCTTTGGAAACGCAAAACTCAATATTCAAGTTACAAAAGGATTCCTCCCAATAACTTATACAACTCAAATAAAATTTTGATATGATTGGTTTTTCGTTTAGCAGCACACCCTAAAGCTGCGGTACTCTTAAAACACTTTTTTGAAAAAAATTTATAAACAATAACAACAATAACAAGAGGGTTTTTAGTACAATTTGAGTAAATCAATTAAACAGTGTTACCAATGCCTCCAGTATTTGGGAAAATGTTTATATTTCGTTATATTTGAGGTTAAAGATATTACTTACTTTACTTGATCACATACTTGAGACAAATATCTCGAGGCTCGCATTTCTCAAGACAATGCTTGCGTTGCTTACAGATTGTTGTGGCTAAAGGGGATTTTTTTTATTCAGAACTAAACCTGGAATAACACAGAAATATATAATCATCATTTTAATCATTAGTTGAGACTTGCCTTAGTTGCTAGCTTGAGTTTAACTCCGCTCTAACACATTTCATATTTTAATCATCCACTTGCGCTTTTAGTACAATAAAGTATTAAGACTCTTAGAAATCAACAAAGATTTCAAACAAGTTTGCGTTAATAAGAAAAAATCGAATTATGTACTCTTATATACTTTTGCGTGTAATGCAGTAATGGTGATTCATGATATGAAATGTCCAAAAAAATGAAGCACAAACTGATAGCAGAAACGCTCGAAGCACTCACGACGGTGTTTAATAAAACTGACTTTTTAAGTGACACTTTGAGCACGCCTAATCAGTGCATAGGGTATTTTAGAGTAGGAAGTATTCAAAAATTACGAAAATTACGAAATTTTAGTATCTTCAATGTTACCTTCCAGTGGGTTGTTTTAGCCTGGTTCGGATCTTTTATTTTTATTTTTTGTGGGTTGAAGAACGCAAGTAGGCGCTTGCTCGAATTGAGGGCCGTGGTTCGTTGAATTTACGTTATTGTTATCTTTTTTTTTTATTTATTTATACGAACACTTCGTTGACTTTTCTTTTGTGGGCGCCAGGTAGTTTGCTAAGGCCCGATGATACTACAAATTAAGCTACGTCCAGAATAAAACTACCAAACTCTAAAGGTTGTCACTTACGTTTATTAATCAACAGTTACTACCCGCAAGATCGTTTCGACAACTACAAGTTTATTTGCTGGAAATATGTAATTGGAAGGCGGTAGTATGGCAACAAAAAAAACAATAACACTAAATAGTGGGCACCAGCGCTAGGCAACCAGTAAATAAATAAATAAATACAAGAAGGATTAAAATATCACAAATTATTATCACTAGTGGATACAACCATAGTTATCGCGCTAGCCCAGTGTTGGCTAAATGAAGAGCAGTAACCCGGTAACCCGGTAGTAATAGCAAAACTAATACGTGGTACTTATCTGAAATCCTTCCGGCGTGGACGGGCGGTTTTAGTATGCATGCCGCGGATAGCGGACTTGCGTCGACGTGGAGGGACGACTTACCCAGTAACCCGGCCGACGGCAGGAATCAAACTTATTCCCCGAAATGGTGTACCCTAGTTGTGCTCAACCACTACCCCCTTACACCCAGACTAAGCGTCTAAGAGCAAACAATAATCAGGAGGATCACGCACGGGCCTCCAGCTGCGCCGTATAATGCAACAAAATGGCGCCTTAGCTCCACAGCAGTTTCCCGAACCGATGGAGACGCTGCGAACCAGCAAGACTCTTCAATGGCTAAACTAATGGCCAATTCTAGACGTTATTTACGCAACTAACATTTCCGAACCATAGTAGATAACGTCTTTTACCCTCGAGAGGCACTAAGCCGGAATATACAAACGAAACATCGATTTGCCCACTAAATTATCAGCGAGGGTCTGTCTTGCTTGTCGAGTTGCTACTGAACCCTAAAACGACCTCAGCAGGAGATGCGCGCGGAATTATAGCCATCCTTTACACTCGTTAGCACTCTTCCGTGTGCGTATTTTGTCGAACGACATTTTATACCTACAGGTAGTCGACCCATTATACCCTATTAATCGTAAAGCTAATCCTATTCGAAGTATACATAAAAAAAAATCGTAACATCAAAATATCGAATAGAGGTTTTCATTGTGAACGCCGCGAATAAGCGATATTTCTTTTCTTTTTCTGCATACGAATTTTAATTTTGCATTACCTGTAATCTACTTGTATTACGCACATGTTCTCAAGTAACAGCAGGGTTTTCTTTCGTTCTTCGTAAAACTCCTGACATTTTGTAACCTATTTTCAGGACCAAGCCGTTCAGGACTGCACCAGAGGTTCTTCAAGTGGATCAGCCTTTGCTGGGTCCACTGCGGAGCAACTGTGACACGCCTTTTATAAAAACTCACTTCGAGTGCAATTTTACTTCTTAGCTTCTAACCCATTTCCACCTTTCATTTCCCCAAATCTTTTCTCCTATTCCGAAACTTTGGTCATACGTCGCAACAGTATGAGAAATGGTATAATGTAAACATAAACTATTACATATATTTCGAATTTATTTAGTGTTGATTACAGTAGGGATCTTAAAGAAAATATAAATTGTGCAATAATTATATTTCCTGGTAAGTCTACTTTCATCCCCAAAGTATCGGTCGACACTTGTGAGTACCCGCATCCCGGCAGAAGGTGGACTTGCAAAAACATCCCTTGATTTCGTACTGGGGACACGGTCTAGGGGTTCCACATGCTTCGAAACATGGATTACTCCATTTGCATACCTCGTTCGGATCTTGGCAAGGACATTTTTTCTGACATCGTACTGAAAATATGCCAAAAACTTAGTTTCTCTTATAACAGTCACCGAACATTAATAATATGAACACATATGAAACATTTCCCATCTTCCGACCCAACCGCACTCTTCAACGGCACTTGACACCCGGTACACAGTTACATGATCTTCTTATTACTCGGTCCTTAGGTATAAAGTAAAAAATACTCACCTGTGAGAATACCAAACGACAAAACGAGATACAATGCCAATAGTACCATCGTATCGTTACCTGTGTTATTTTTGTTAAATTGGTTTTCCTTAAATAATAAAAATTATCGCGTTCGTGGAATAAAAAACCATCCAGATAAAAATTAAATTGTTATAAATGGTTTTAAATTGCGACAGATAAACCGCATTAACTGGCGCCACTGGTTTTCTAAGGATATTTCGTTTCAGCTTATATTTTCCATGAAAGATGCACATCCAGGAATAATGTTATAAGACCGGACTTAAAAAACATTTTTTCAGGGTATGAGGAATTTTTGATATTTTAATTTATTTATTTATTGGGCGTTTGTCCCGTTTTTTCACAAGAATCAAGAATTAACTGATATTCCTCTATCCATATTTATCAAATAGTATCCATGTTTCTTCTCTTAGGAATATGTAATTAGAAACAACGTCGCAAAATCCAAAATCCAAATAACCAGCCGAGATCAATAAACCAAAACTATTTTGATTGATCATTTATTAAAACATATCAACTATAAAATTTCTACTACACTCTGAGGTTAATTATACACATTGTCCTGATCGCTGGTCGCGACAATTTGTACAGTAACATCCCTTTATCAAGTATTGTGGGCAAATACCTCGAGGCCCGCATTTTTCGAAACAAGGGTTGCTTTCCTCACAAATCTCCTTGGGATCTGTGCAGGGACATTGTTTTCGACCCAACACTGCAAAGACACATTAACACCGATGCAATTTACGAAATCAATAATTACCTGCGAAAGCAAACAATGATACGAGGACAATCTGTATCGAAAGCTTAGACATCGCTTTCTGGGTATATGCTTCAATTCTGCCTATACGTATAACCTAATTGATATTTATATATGCTTCCATTTCCATTATCCGTTCGAAATAAATACGGTTAACATAATTTCAAGGAAATAATTATAGCATGACAAACGTCGACGTCTTGCATTTTATCTAAAATACACTTGACACTTTTTATACTTGTACACTGTACAGACTGTCCCAGAGCCCTAAATGTTTTAAAGTTGTGTGTTTTTAATGATCCAGCCGGTCTAGAAGAGCGTTTCCGGATTTACTCCTTTAAATATTTCAAATTTCGTTGAAAATCAATCTGGATTTAGCTAATTTTATCTGGTTTTGTAGTTGAAAAAAATTACAAACCCATAACAATTGGGTTGATTTATTGGGCGCCTAAACCTAGATCGTGACGCTTGGCTTAGCCTTGATATTTTGGTAAATAAACTGTTTTACATTCATACAATTTCTTTAGAAGACAAAACAGATCTGGTTCCTTTATCTCTTCACAGCAGCTAGAGACTAGACTAAAGAACGTATATTATAAATTATGATTTAATCTATATGGAATTTTAACAATCTTTTTTAATGACTCTTTTGCTATTTACAAGTTACTGGTAGAAAACACTCTCTACTCTCTACTCCCTACTCTAAAATGGTCAATGTCCAATGCTTGGACATTTCTGGTATTTTATTCACGGGTTTGGGTGTGATCGGAAGTGTTGGGTAGATTTTAGCTACCGATGGCATTTTCGGGTTTACCAGTCCTCATGGTTATGTCTCACATTACCCACAATCTATTCGTGCTGTATAGCAGGTAACACGTTGATAAAATTCTTCAGTCGCTGGTTTACTAAATAAACACTAAACACTCGTAACTAAAGTTTCGGTAATCAAACATGTAAACAAAAGTTATAATCTAAATACTTTTGTTAAGATAAAAATTCGTACAATGCTTGGTAACCATTGACCTTTTATATTTGCAAATATGTTGAAGGAAATCATACAAAAAATTTGAACCTGCAATTTTAAAGCCAACACATAAAAGAATAGATGTGAAACGTATTAAATTATTTGTTTTTCTTTTTAACTAACTTTAAGCAAATTAAAAAAAAATAAAATGTGATCTATAAACACTGCAGTAGAATTTTTATATTTGGTGTATTGATAAAATACTTAAATTAAAAGAAAAAAAAAGAAGAAAAGAAAGAAAAAAGAAAGTATTTATTTATTATATTATTATTTATTTGCAATAAACAGACTTACAGCTCCCGAACAAAAACGTTTCTATTTGTATCAAAACCGTGGAATGTAAAATTAAAATTGTTCATTATATCATTAATGGAAAAAGTTATAACGAAAGTCCGTAAGAAAAACGGAAACAAAATGCTCATCGAAGATTACCCTAAATAATAATCTAAATTTTCAATTATTTTATGTGATTCTCAAATGGGTTAATTTATTGGAAAATTTCTATTTAATTTTTAAAATTATTTTATAGATATTTTTTTATCAATTCGTTGATTATTCAAGGAAAAACGCTGAGAAAAAAGTACATAAGGAAAAAATATGAGGACAAGTGGAAATTACGAAGTCTGGAAAATCGTTTCTTTTTCGAAGAAAATGTTATTAAAATCTAGAAATAGTACTTGTTTTTGCGTAAGAATAGGATAAGTTCTACGCCAATAGTAAAGTAATATACTACGTACGTAAAAGTAAAAACTAAATTTATTTATTTATTTCTGTAATATTCCGTGGTTTGGTGCAAACCAATAAAAACTATTAGACATTTTTCCAAAAAAAAAAAGCAAAGTTCCTGAATGCACACATCTTTGTCGTTAATGTTGCAGTCCAAACATGAAATATCGTTAAATACACTGTTAATAGGCGAATTTATGTTATATATTCACACTCAAAACGCGTGTTCATTCGAATTCCCAATTTTTAAATTGAATTTCTCTTACGTATGCGGGCGTTTTCCACGCCTCCGCTATCCCGCCGCTCCCGAAGGAAAATATGTCCGGAGAAAAAAAAACGGTTAAAGAATTTACGTTACCAATTTTCGAACGAACAAAAAACGAGAATACGACGAGGTGCGGCAAATTATTCGCGCTTACATGAAGTCGGTTGTGGGGCTTCGAATATTTTATACGAGCTTGATTTTAAATTCTAAAAAAAAAATTAATTCCGTTTGAATTCGGATAAACGTGTGGGGCCAGCGAATTTAAGAACTCCGCCGCGCGTCTTCGCGAAACTTATCCGCTTATATATCAAACTTTTAATATTGCGTATGCGGCGTCGAAAAAAAAACCGACCACGCCGCTTCGGCCTTGTGGGAAAACAATTCTTCCACTTCGCGGAGTCCGCAATTTATTATTTATAATCGGAAAAGTTTATATATCATTCCTGCTTCCTTTTTTTTTTCGGAAATTTATTTCACGAACCGATGAATTTATGTGGTCGCTACGTTGACGAGACCATGTATTATGGCCATAGAAAGATACATTAACAAAAGAGTGGTAAATATCGAAACCGTATTCCCCAGTGACACCATGAGCTACAAATTTGAATGAGGACAACAACCTGAAAATTATGGGTAAAAGTAACAAGTAAAAATGCATTGGCTCCTAATTAATCAGTCTTATTTTAAAATAGTATATTATGCAGCAAGTGCGGTAAACGGCATTTGACTCATGAGTGAGATAAGGAGTTTACCAAACGTGTTGCATACTATACTTTTTCTAAGATCGTCACGAAAAAATCACAATTTAACCAATTAAAAATAATAACAGATTATCGGATTACTGAATTTCGTACCATTCAAACAAAATATTAACTAGTTGCCATTAAACCTATTCGTTTATCGTTCCGATCGCTTTTGCTATTGTTCTCACCCTGTAACTGACTACATGAGACAGAGTACGATATATTATTGGATATGTCATATAAACAACGGAATAAACACAATTTTAAAACGTTATGTTGTTAATTTAACTTTTACAATTGATCATTAAGATTAAGACAAATATTTTGAAATTCAAAAAACAAATGTCTACAGGTTGAAATGCGGATCTTGTCCTA